GCTCTCCTAAGTCTGACTGGATTCCAGAACTTTTGCCTTGGCCCTGATCCTTGCTGACCACCTGCTTGGACTTCTTCCTTCATTGCTGCATCTATTCACTGAAACCCTTAGGGGATAGACAGGAGAGAAGTGTGCCCATTCTACAGAATATGCCCAAAGTTACAGAACTGGAAAATAGAGGGTCCAGTCCTCAGGCATAATCCATTGTTCTTGTTACTTGTTACTATGACATCCTTTGTGGTGAAAGTAGCCTGGATATGCTGGGGTCATTGTTAGTATTCACTGGAGGGATTTGCCACTTCCTTTTGCTCTCTTTCCAGCTCTGTCCTGGCTCTTGGGCAGTCTTCTCAGGAGGAGGTTTCTGATTCTCAGGTTGAGCTGTCTTTGGCAACATGGACTTGTGGCTACAGTGGAGGGCAGAATGGGGAAGGTGTGTAACCCTCAGAGTGGGGCTTTCTGGGAAAAGCTCCTTGCAGTTTCCTGCTGCAGCAGATTCCAAGCCATTCTTTGTTGCTGTATTGCCATGCTGGGGATGGCCAAGTGCGGTTTCTGGTTTGCTTGGGAAAGTCAGCTGCAAAGCCTGTGCCTGCCCTTGCTTGCCAGTGCCGATGAGATCATGGAGCCAGGACTGAAGAGTCTACCTGCCTGAAGACAACTGAGTGAGACCATGCATCCCTTCTCCTTCCTTGTAGGTTGCAGAACAAATCCTCACCTATTTACAGCATGAAAGCCCCTTTTGATTTGGCTTCAGCATCTTCTCCATCTCACTCGCCTCTCTCTTCACACCCTGAAATTATGTGCACAGAGAGCTGTATGTGGGTACCCGCTCATTTGTTCACTCACATGATTGCTGACTCACATCAGGTCCCTTCAGATTGCCTGATGTGCCCCTTCTCTTCCTGCCTGCAAGACCTGGCTCCTGTGGATTCCTTAACATGGCATCCCCTGAGTTCTGATAAAGCTGATTATACTCCATCCCTAAGTTGGAATCGCCTCTCCCCTGCCCTCTGTTCCTAAAGCACTTTGCTTATTACTCTGCTAAAGCATTTTTAAAATTTGATTCCACCTGGTGTCTCTGCTGCGTGATCATGAAGTCCTTCAGGGCCAGAAAGTTTCACCCTCAT